CTAAAGAAATGTACATCACTCCGGCAATAGAACAGTTGGTCGGAGCATCTCGACATGTCCAAGATCCGACGCGAGCCTCGTCACCGTTGCAACACTCAGCGGCGTTGACACGCCATCGCCAACCAGCACGACACATGTCTCAGAAGACCCATTTGAAATGAGACGATGCCAATTGCTACATGCAAGAAAGCAAGCTTTCTAAATATGTATATTTTCAAAAGCTGTAACGCTTTTTAAAATTATGTATTTTGAAAGCGAAGCTGCCTGTAATGTAGGATTTGGCAGCGTCGAGCCGCGCTAAACGCCCGTTTTGGAGTACAAAACGTGGGCTGGAGGTCATTTCCCTCCACCCACATCTCTCATTTCAGACGGTTTAGCCGATCTTCCCACCCACCCCCCCTCGAAAGCAGGATAGCGTTGATAACATAGAGGCATATTATTGTAATGACGCTGCTTGGATTTCAATTGTACTAAACCCATTTGAAATGAGACGATGCCAATTGCTACATGCAAGAAAGCAAGCTTTCTAAATGTGTACAGTTTTGGTGTTGTGCTGCTCGAAATGGTGTCGGGGAAGCGGGCAGTGCTAAACGGGAGTGACACCGCCTTCAGCAACCCACATATATCCATCTGGGTATGGTACTATTGTCCTTCCAGCCTGACACCATTCCAGAAAGTGCGGAGTCTCTTGCAAGCTCCTCTCTCGGCTGACTTTACTTACTCTCCATCCTCGATCACATGTGCAGGCAAACAAGTTTGTGATGGAGGGCAAGATCTCCGAAGTGGTGATGGAGGGACTCAAAGCCCCACGTGATGCCATCACCATGTTTATCGGTCTCTCCATGGATTGCCTGAAGCGGCCTGGAGCTCTAAGACCAAATATGCGGGACGTTGCACAGCGCCTCACCAACATTCTCGCCATTGTATCCAATAGGAGCTAATGTTGTGAAGCAAAGCCATGGACGGTTGGTGTTGGGAACAATTCAATTGTAAATGTTGTAGATAAAGCAGCGCAACCATTTCAGTAAGAAAAACGTTATGACCCTCACTATTCATGTTCAGTGTTTAAGCTATTTACTTGCGTGCTTCTGCTTAAAAATAGCTAAGCAATTAACTGTCTTTACCTTCAACATCACAACCTGTAGAAATGATCTGTGTAGCATGGATCAGCTAACTATGAAGACGCATATGTAGTTATCTCATTTATGGTACTTATCAGGCATGTCAGAGAACCTGCGGAACGGCGAATCTTTCCATCAGCCATTGGAGCATCTCCGAAACAAGCGACACCGTGATGACCGTTGCTCGGCAGAGCACAACTACGGTTCAAGAAAAGCTTGCATTTGCACAGTATGCTGTATTTAGCAAGTAGGTCGCACCGCAGGTTCTGTCAGTCAGGCAGCTTCTAATTCTTTAGTGAACCCGTTACGCTAATTTCTATTTTCCAGTCATCGCGATGGCGGACAGTGATACTGACTCTTCTGCAGATTCCGAGGAACTTGAAGAAGGAGAAGAAGAGCCCAGCTCGCTTACCTTCCGTTCTGATGGCGGTTGGCTGAAGCGCTTCTTTGACTCCGCCTTTTTCTGCGAGTGGATTGCCGTCACGTACCTTTTCAAGTAGGAATGGACACGAAGTTCTCCGTTGCAAGGACGAAAGAAGACGAATTCTAACGACCGTGTCGTTGCTGTTTCAGGCATCAGAACGGTGGCGTGCGAGACTATTTGTGCGACAGAATGTACTCGTTACCGTTGGAAGGAGTTCAGGACTACCTATTTCAGATTTGCTACCTCGCTGTCCACAAACCAAGTCCATCTCTCGAAAAGTATACCACTGATGTCTGTTCCCAGTCGCTGCACTCATTCCTGCGGGTAAGGAATCCAGTAGAACAGCTGCATTTTACTTGTCTGTTAGAAATAACTTAAGTTTTGTTGTTTCTGTGTTCAGGTATACTGGTTTTTGTCAGCTGAGCTCACTGATCGACCCAACGACCTATCCGTTGCCACCATTCAAGCCAAATTCTACGAGGCTGCCGTGCAGAGTTCGGTTCCTAGCCTAAGATGTCCCAGACCACCACGGGTTTCGTTTTTCGGTCGCCAGAACGTGTTTCAACTCATGTCATCAGCCTCAAGGCGTCTGCTTCCCCTGCCTTCTGCCTCCTCCAGCTCCAGCCCCGCTGCTGATGGCAAGCACACCATTTTAGCATCTGCACCGAGCTATGTTTGGGGAAGAGAAGTTTTGCAAAAGGGATCCGGCGAGTTCCCACCTCCCAAGAGCGTTGAATCCGTTCCGTCTCTTGAAGATGAGCCAAGCTCAGAAACGAATCTGAAGTCTGAACCGAGTGATGGCGTTGCTACGCATGAGTCAACATTTTGGCGCTTCCTCCGTGAAAGGAGGCTCAGCTCGCCTGCTACTGATACAAACCAGACCCGTCCAGAGAACATCACTGGCTGGAGCTTTTTGGGTGGAAGAAGGGAAGCAGCGTCAACCATTGTGGGCGAACTTGGAGCAGTGACAGAAGCAGATGAAACGCTTGCAGAGGAAGGAGTGAGTGGAGGAGTTTGCAGTCCATCATTGAACCAAGGAAGACGCAGTTCCGGAGGCGAAGCAAGAAGCACTGGTGTCATGAGGCGGCTCTTTTCAGTGGATGGCAATGGGGTGGAAACTCTTCGACTTTCTGATAGGAATGACACTTTCTTTCAGCGGTTATTTGGGGAGTCTTCTGAAAAAGCTGGACCGAGCTCACTGGATGGAAGCTTGCCGACAGCTTCTGCAGCAGAATCATCTGATGCCGCAGAAAATGGTTTTTCATCTGTCGGAGCAGGAGACTCTGCTGTAATTGATACAAGTGCGGCAGTTGCTGGAGGAAAAGATAATGAGCTTTTTAGAGATGGAACCGATGAGCCTCTTGATTCAAATGCTCAAAAAGGTCTTCTGCAGAGATTGACGGGTGCTGACTCACCTGAAAGGCCTGATCCATCCGACAAGCCAACAGAGCAGGCTCCGCAGGATGAGGGTGGAGCTGCAGTGGCAGCGGACAGCGAAAACAGCTTGCTCAAGTGGATGTTGTGGAAGAGACCTGGTGGCATGAGCAAGGAGGCAGTGACTCTGATTGGAGGAGATGCGCACAAAAATGAGTTTCAGTCAAAAGAAAACACCGGGAATGAGCACGTGGGGCTTTTAAGTCGCATTTTGCATGACAAGTCAGAACCCGCTGGTTCAACAAAGGAGCGGCTACAGCTTGGATCAACAGATGCAGCAGGATGTGATGGTTGTGAGGAGCAGATGGAGGGGGGGCAACGAAAGGAAATGCAGCAGCATCAAGCAGATTCCATGGCCTCATCAAGCACCACAGTGCTCAAAGCACTCGTTGCTACAGCTGCAGATGCTGCATCTGGTGTCGTCGCCACTGCTGCTGGTGCGGCTGGTGTTGTTGCTACCGCTGCCACTGCTACTTCTGGTGTTGTTGTCACTGCTGCTGGCGCAGCGTCAGGCGTGGTTGCCTCTGCAGCTGGTGCTGCTTCTGGAGTGGCTGCCACAGTCGCTGGTGCAGCAACAGGGGCAAGGTTGCTGGTGGGGGAGGCGGCGAGCCAAGCAGTCAGCATGGTTCCCAAGAATCCACTGCGACGAAAGGCTCCCTCAAAGGTGGGAAGTGCGTCCATCGGAGCAGGGTCGGACTTGGGGACCAGTCCAACTGATGTGAGCTTTGAGCATATGGCAAGCCCAGAGCATGAGCATTTCCATGACATACAGGTTCCCTGTAGCAGCATGGCAAGCTTCCTGGCTTCACCGGCTCAACTGTCAGATTCACTGAGGAGAGATGCCTCTCCAGCTGTGGAGTCGATCCATGAGCAGGACAGCAAGCTTACCCCTAAGCCATCCCCTGGATTCATGCGGAGGCTTTTCAAAGACAGGCCAGAGGAGGAGTCCAAGGAGCCGTCGTTTTTCAGCCTGAATGCTGCTGCCACAATGTCCCCCAAAGGAAATCATGTCCCGGTTGTTGATGCCCCGCTGCCCCAAAAGCAAAGTGCGCTCCGCAGTCTCTTCAGCACACCAACCTTCTTTGCAGCGACTAAGGCCAAAGATATAACTGGAGAGGGTGCTGAGGAGGTTCCGCCAAGTTTTGCAGACCAGTTTGCAAGCAGGATGGGCTCACTGAGAAGCTTCAGTGGGGGTTGGTCTTCAGAACATGCACCGTCCACATGCAACAAACTGGCCAGCGAGAGTGTAGCTGCGAATTGTCAGCCTGACACACGGGAAGAAAAGGAAACTGATGCAGAACCGCCTGCAACTTCAGCAGAAACAGTCCTTCCTCTGGAATCTTGCAAAGATGCTGACCCAGATGCAGTGCCTTTGACTTCTGCTGGGGTTGATGACGCCAGTCTCCTGAATGCAGGAATTGTGACGGAAAAGGCATGCCCTTCTCCCTCGTGCCACAAGCAGCCTGCAACGACTTCAAGCCCCTGGTCTCTGCGAGCAGAGGGCCTCTTTTCCGCACTCAAAGGAGGAGTTAAGAGTAGTCCAAGCAGTGCAGGGACACCGCAGGGGCGTGGAGCAACAGAGGGCGTTTCCATCATTGATATTGGAGCTTCCGCTTCCCCTCAGACTGACGTGAGCTGTCATCATTACCATGTCGTTGAACTGCTCGTCCTTAGCTTGGACTAAGACGCTTTCCAATGATGTGCAGGATTCACTGGAGGGCCTGTATGGTGCGCCGAAGCTCCCGAAGCACCCATCATTCAGCATCAGGAAGAGCACTGTTCTGGCGACACTGGACTTTGTAAAGGCCCTTGGAGACATTTCCTTTGGGCTCGTGGATGTCTTTCCCAACGAGGACAGGCAAACGGCTCTCGGGGAGGTGAGCACGGCCGCACCGCATTGGACCATCTTCGTCCTGCAGCATGTTAGTCAATAATGCCCTTTGCACTGACTGTGTTCATTCCGCAGTCCCTTGCAGAGCTGAACGCGCATCTTGCGGGCATGCCAGCAAACGAGGGTCAGTATGCATGATGCTCGTCTAAAGCAAGCTGTCTGCAACACGGTACTAGCTAGAGCGTGGGGGAGGTGTCTCATTCTCGGCGTGCTGTGTGCCGCAGGAGTGTTCTTCCCCATGGGCAAGGGGTGCTACAGAGTGGTGAGGCTGCTGGAGGACGAGGCTGTGCTCATGAGCTCGCGGGACAGAGTGCCCTTCATGCTGCTGCTCGAAGTCCTCAACTGCCTCCCCTGGAGGTCAGTTCCTTCCGTTCCTCACCACTGCCATTCAAGCTACTCATTATCTCCTTGTCACCTGACTGCACATCCTCCCTTCTTGACTTCTCACTCGTTTTCGGTCTTTTGTTTGCTCATTCTCGTCATTCACCCACAGTGCACGCAAGGCCGGCACGGCACCTGAGGGCATGGCGCCGGCCAAGACAGGCATCCCTCTAGCGGCCAGCCAGCCCCTGCCCATGCGCCCTCCCCCCTGGGCGCTGCACATGTGGAGCCACGCGCGCCCCGCCTCTCAACACGCACAGGATGCCCCCCTGGGTCTCTCACGCACCTTGTCAGACGTGGCTCTGGACCGAGCCATGGCCAGCATGTACTCCCGCATGCGCCTTGTGCAGCTCAGCCTTGAAGTCTGCAAACGCCCACCTGCTCCTGCTGCTGCTGCTGCTGCTGCTGTCGCTGCGGCTGCTACTGCTACTGCTACTGCTACTGCTGATGCCACTGCTACTGCGCCTGCTGCTGGTGTCAGGACAGACATTCTGAGTCAAGTGCAGCAGGCAGTAGCAGCTGGAGCAGCACTGGCTGGTGCACGCAGCAAGCCCAACCTGAGTCCAAGCGTCCCTTCTGTGGCATCCAACACGGATACAGAAAAGGGGGGCGATGCAGAGCAGGCAGAGTGGGAGGAGTACGTGAGTGTGAGGCTGGTGGCGGTGCCAGGGGTGACTCTTGATGACCTCACAGGCCTGGATGCTGTCAGCCTCTCCCGTGGTCGAGCCAGAGTGCCCAGCAGCCTTGCCATCGCGCATGTCCGAGTACGTGCCTCCTGCCCCCCCTGCACCTTACGTTCTATAATATCAGCTAGCCTGTAAAACTTAAGATTGTCTCTGGAACAATCAGCATCGTTTAGGTGCTCATGCCTTTCACTTCCATTGCCTATGGCAGGCAGTCACCCATCAAGGCGAAGGGCCTCCTCCAGGCATGCCTGTCACCAGTCCTTCGTCAGGAGTCGGCCCCGCTCAGGTCTGTGCTGCTGAGCTTCAGATTCTGCAACCAATCAGGTACCTCTACTGTGTTCTTTAAAACTCATCACGAAATCCCTTTTTACCCTGAGGGGGATGCAGGAACTTCTGGAGAGACAACGAGTGGATGAGAGTTGGGAGAGTCGCAAGGCAAGAATACGGCAGTCGTCCAAGTTCGGCACATCGCCAGACTGGGACCTGCGGTCAGTAATTGTCAAGAGTGGCGACGATTGCAGGCAGGAGCATTTTGCCTTGCAGCTTGTCTCGCACCTATCTGGTGAGCAAGGCTTTGTGGCAGACCTGAGCGTTCCTTGCTTCTGCTTGTCCACAATTAAGCATGTGTAACGACGTTGCCATGCCCTATCCTGCAGACATCTTTCAAGAATCAGGGCTGCCACTGTGGCTAAGACCATATGAGATCCTGGTCACTTCAGGAAGCACTGCTCTCATTGAGACCATAACTGATGCTGTGAGTGACGTCATGTCCTTATGGAGAGTCGTTATGTCCTAAATGAAAGCATGGCTCTATGGAGAATCTTTTCCTCATGTTGATTCCTCTGTGCAGATCTCATTGCACGCCCTCAAGAGCCGCAATCCCCACATCAAGAGCTTGCGGCAGTATTTTTGCGAGAAATTCAAGCATGGGACTCCTGAATTTCACGTTGCTCAACAGAACTTTGTAGAGAGCATGGCAGCCTACTCCGTTGTCTGCTACCTCCTTCAGGTGAGGTCCCTTACTACTTTCACCTTCTTCTGAATTGAATGACTCATTGTCTGAGTACTGCTTGGTACTTTCGTGGTGCAGCTGAAGGATCGGCACAATGGCAACATCCTTCTGGATGACCAGGGCCACATTATCCACATTGACTATGGCTACATGCTCTCCAACTCACCTGGCTCTGTCAACTTCGAAACTGCACCCTTCAAGCTCACCCGTGAAATGGTTGAGGTGGGTAATTAGTTATAGGTTCTGCCGATGTTTTCTCAGCGTCAATTCTCTCAAGAAGTTGTGAGGAGTTCAAGGCATGTCATCTGCTTGATGATCCCTTGACCTGTAGCCATCTGCTTTGTGGACTGTTCAGGTTATGGATTCTGATGCAGACGGTTCCCCAAGCGAGGCATTTGATTATTTCAAAGTGAGCTGTCCTTGTAATTCACTTATTCTCTGTCCTGCTCTGCACGCATGTTCCCTGTGTGCAGATATCATTCTCATTTACCCCCCCAATCAGTTCTGTGTCTACTGTTGCAGGTTCTTTGCATACAAGGTTTCCTTACATGCCGCAAACATGCAGAGCGCATCTTGTTGCTGGTTGAGATGATGCAGGTGTGTGATGACTTTTACTTGAAGCGTGGTATACAGTCGGTTCTCCACAATTCCCACTGACATGTAATTGTGATGTTTTCAGCAAACACGGTGTCCCTGCTTCAAGGCAAAGCACCGAGTGCTACATAACTTGAGGAGGCGGTTCCACCTTACACTAACAGAGGAGGTAAGACTGTTGATTGTTCTCATTGCAATGCAAGCTCAGAAACTAACCCTTTTTGTCCATGTTCTGCAGCAATGTGTCTCGCTCATCCTGTCGTTCATCAGCAAGAGTGTTGATGCCTGGAGTACCCGGCAGTATGACTACTACCAGCGTGTTCTGAATGGTATTCTGTAAAGCGTACATACTTCCTTTGTTCAATAAAGTTGAAGTCCCTTTTGCTGATCAAAGATTTAGCTATCAAGGCACCTGTAAATCCTCTTGCGGGGAAAAAAAAGAGAGGATTCTAGGAACCAGGCCTCAAATATCGTTAAGCTCGAAATGGCTTCGCCCGGACTTGAACCGGAGACCTTCAGTGTGTTAGACTGACGTGATAACCAACTACACCACGAAACCACGTGGAATATCGCAGGCATTTAATATATTATCCACGTTGTTTCCGTCCGTGTTTTTTTCCATTTCTGTACTTGATCGAGATTTCTGCGATGGCGGTGGAAGCGGTGAGCCCCGTCACCCAGGAATCTGTGCAGGCTGCTGTTGCCGCGAAGGACTTCGCTAGGATAGCCGAAATCTGTGGTCAGCTTGAGCTCGAGGTGTGTGCGTGTTCTACTCTTCTCTTCCTTGGACAGGTCATGTATCGTAGGTTTCAGCCTGACCCTCTTGACGCCGTCTGACAATGGCCTAAACCATGATCTGTCCCAGCCATCCATGACGAATTCCGCCTAACAGAGCGTCGCGTATTAACCTGGTTCGAACCTGTAATGATACGGATTCCAGTCCGCTCCTTTCACCAGCCCAGCGCGTGAAGTGTTCGTTTCTGATTTTCTCCTTCATGGTGCAGGCTGCAGCATCGGGATCTCCGGCTCTACCCGCAACGATCCAGTCGCTGCATCTGCTGGGCTTGCTTCATGATGGAGATTTGTAAGCGATCCTCAGTAACTTGAGTTGAATCTGGAAGCCGCTGTGTGGTCCCTGGTTTTCTGTAGTGTCTCTAAGTGTGCAATACCTCACGACTGGTGGTTGCCGGTCCTCACTCCGTTTGATGCAACCCAAGCTTCGCCTTCTCTTCCTGATTGTTCTCTCCACCCTCTTTCCATATGTTCTGTATCTTTAAAGAAATGAGGCGCGGTTCTTATGGAAGCGGATACCTGCGTCAGTGAAAGACGGCAATGCTGAGCTGGCAGCCACGTGGAGAGTGGGACAAGCTATGTGGAAGCGAGACAGCCAAGACGTTTACGATGCCTTGAAAGCGTTTCACTGGTCGCCTATTGTGCGACCCATGGTCGCTGCTCTCACAGGTACTTGCAACCACCTTCAAAATTGCATCTGTCAGAGTCAGTCCTCCACCTGGCTGTTCCCATCTGAGAGTGAACCCGATGTGCTTTTTTGTGTTTTTGGCTGGAAGTAGATTGAATAGCACGTTGTGCCATTTGTGTTCAATCTCCCCCACGTGGGTGCCACCGAATCATGTCATGTTGTATTACCGTCATTCCTGTTCCCGTTTCCCCCCATTGCAGACAGATACACACACACCATGATGGAACTTGTTGCTCGCTCTTTTTCCACCATCTCACCCTCACATGCTGCCACCTTTCTCGGTCTCACCTCTCAAGAAGCCCTTGCATTCCGTGAGCACTCTCCCCTTCAGCCCCATTTGCCCTTGCATTTACCATTTGCCTCTCCACTCTTTGTCAGCTCTATTTTCCTTTGTCTCTTGAGTCTCAATTCTAGCACATGTTTGTTTTTTACACTGTTTCCTCTTTATTTGCAAGGCACATTGATTTTTTTCCTTTCACACACATTATTGTCCTGCTCGCAACACATTAATGCTTTTTTTTCTGCAACCTAGTGCAATTCATCCCCCTCATGCAAGCGTTGTTCCTCGGTGAGTGTGAGCAGTGGAGGCCAGGGACTGGAAATATGATTCTGCAACAGACATGTTTACACCACCAGTGGTCCAAGCAGGGAAGGACAAGGAACTCGAGGAGGAGCAGAGGCAATTAGCTCAGGTGAAGCGTCTCACTGAGTATGTCTTTAATTTGGAGCATTGATGATGTGTGCAGCTGTTAGGAATGTGGATAGGAGCTTATACCATATCTGGCAGTCATTTTCTCAGATGGTTGAAATAGTTGAAGTTGTGTCTATCTTTTACTGTATACGTGGCTGGATCATGACAACTCACAATAATAGACTGATGTTTGGCAGCTGTGTAACTACTGTGCAATCCACACCAGAGGCATCGAGACCAGACAAAACAATTTCTGCCAGGCGGACTAAAGCAAGTGGGTAGGCTGGGCATGTGTGGTCCTCAACAGCTGCACCCGGCCATGCTGTGACTCACAGCCACACCACCCTTGTGACCTAACCAAGTCACCCTGCCTAAGCGCAAACGTCAAAAATATTCCTACTGGACACCCCACCCCTGCCCAACATCGTTCAGTCACGCATGTGCCAGAGGACGGTAAAAACCACACTTGCATCATTGGCGGTTCATGGAGTCAAAGAAATCGCTAATGGCGCCGTTCATTGACCCGAACGCATCAGACCTGCCCCTCTCCTCCGCTCCCTCTGCTGCCCCGCCGTTCACCACCCTCCCATTCGGCTTGCCGTTGACCTTCCCACCCGTCTCAGCACCATCAGCATCAGTGTTTGCCCGCTGTGCTCTCAGCTCCCTCCTCCTCCGCCTCTCCTCCAGCCGCCACAGCCGCTCTGCTGTGTTCTCTATATCCCACTCCGTCAACCGAGCCTCGCTCTGCTCCTGCCGAACCTCATCCCACTCACCCGCCTCGTATGTCGCGCGTTGCTCAGCCTTGCCCTGCTGCTTTGGCGGCGACCAGTCACTCACAGGGAAGGCTCGGATGCGAATCTGAGGTTCGACATCCGAGCCTGTTCCGTCCCTAGCAGCTGCAGACATGTCATGAACAGCATTCTTCCCTTCCTCCTCCTCTCCTGCCCGATCAGCATAAACCTCATCACTAGTCCTGTTCCTTAGCACTCCCCTCACACTCTCAAACATCCACCCTGCTGCTCCAGCCACGGCCCCTCCTGCTGCCCCTACTGCTCCTCCCACTGCCCCTGCCGCGCCAACCGCCAACCCCTTTGCGCCGTTCAGCACCCCACCCACAGCTGCCACCGCCCCTGACCCCACCACTCCTGCCACACTAACCAGCGATGGTTTCCTCTCCTCCACTTTCCCCTCACCGCTCCCTGCACTGCTCCCCTCGCCCCCCTCTGCCCTGACTTCCGCCTCATTACTCGCCACCACCTCAGTGATACTTTCCTCCACCATCTTATCCAGTCCCTTCTGCTCTCGCTCCTGCTGCAGTGCTTGCATTGCCTCCTCATCCACCTCCCCCTCCGCCCCTCCCTCCGCTGCCGTCCCCTTATCACTGTCCGAGTCACTCTCTCCAAACACTTTAATGTAAGCGATAGGGGCGGTGGGCGCCGGAATGGCGGTTGTTACCGCGTTACCACCAGTGTTACTAAACGTGGAGGATTCGTCCCGGTCCACATATGACTTGTAGGTGAGGAGAATGCGGATCTCGCCCTGAGCTGCTGGTTTGACGCCAAAGGGGCCGTCTTGTAACAGTGGTAACCACATGGAGAGCGGTACACAGTCCTGCAATTGCCAGATGGGCACCTGGTGTTGTGTGGGGCGAAGGGGGGTGAAGTGGGGTGGTGGTGCATCAGCAAAGGCAACAGCGTGTCATGGCACGATGGCGTCATGTGGGATGGTAGACTGGCGAAAAAGAGCAAAGCAAGACGGCACCAGGAAACGGCACAAATAACAATAGCATCACAGCTCAACCAAGACAATCCCAATCGGCGCCCCACAGCGCAACGCACCTCGACAAAGCCAATGTTGCGGTTGAGCGCCATGGAGTCTCTGAGCATGACGGTGAGCTTCTGCCCCACATGCACAACACAGTGCAGCACAACGCACCTCAACGAAGCCAATGTTGCGGTTGAGCGCCATGGAGTCCCTTAGCATGACGGTGAGCTTCTGCCCCACGGGGTCCTCCACCCAGAAGTGGAAGTCCTGATTCCACACCGGGTCCCTCGCCCCCGACGGGTGAGACGTCTCGCTGTTGCGCTTGCTCTCCACCATCACATCGCCCACCATCAACCGACAGTACGGATTGCTCCACACTGCACGCATGTACACGCCCAGACACAGGACACAGATCAAATAGAGTTGTTGCAATGGGAATGCGGGGCACGAGAGTTGAGGCCAAGTGCTGGCCCAGCGCCCGCCTGATAAGCCTTAAGACGGCATGGCACCCACCTGATAAGCCGTAAGATGGCAGATTGCGCGCTTCGCAGAGGGTGACAGAAAGCTCCCCCACGAACGAGTCGCTGGGCTCCATGCGCGTTGGCACGAGCCCTGACGCCGCTGACGACGGCCGCTGCCCCGCCAGCCCCGTGAACGTCTCCGATTTAAGCAGATCCAGTACCATCGCGGACGCTGCAGCTGCCATGTGCTGCTGGGGGTCCTCCCCAGCCGGGAGGAAGTCGAAGGTGATATGACGTGGCAGCACGAGCAGACGTGGCAGGTCGACTGTGAGTAGCTTGGAGAGGAAGCTGATAGAAATGGGGGCGGAGGGGAGTGGGATGGACAGGAGGCGGTGTGAGTGTGGTGAGTGGTGTGCGTGTGGTGGGAGTGTGGTGGGAGTGTGGTGGGAGTGTGGTGGGAGTGTGGTGGGAGTGTGGTGGGACTGTGGTGGGAGTGTGGTGGGAGTGTGGTGGGAGTGTGGTGGGAGTGTGGTGGGAGTGTGGTGGGAGTGTGGTGGGAGTGTGGTGGGAGTGTGGTGGGAGTGTGGTGGGAGTGTGGTGGGAGTGTGGTGGGAGTGTGGTGGGAGTGTGGTGGGAGTGTGGTGGGAGTGTGGTGGGAGTGTGGTGGGAGTGTGGTGGGAGGGTGGGACATGGGAGGGCACAGGGTGTCACTCAAGCTAGCAATTGCCAATGCAGAAAACAAGAAGATGGCGGGGGGAGGAGGGGAGGGGGGGGGGGGGGAAGCGTGGTTGGGGGAAAGCGGGTTACAAGGAGCGAACGTCAGAACGATGGGCTAACCTGGAGAGGAACGGAATGGCTGCTCACGGCGTTGAACGACGGCAATCCCAAGACCGTGAGACGCGGGGAGCGACGGACCCGCGCGGAAATACCAAGGAAAGGGAGAAAGGAGAGGAGACGGGAAGAAAACGTAGGTGAGTTGAGGAAGCAGCGCTCGCATGATCAAGCAACAGAGAAAACGCAGCAGGTCAGGGGTGCGAGAAGAAAGGGCAAGCAGAGACAGCACGGACGTTGAAAGATACGTCGGTCCTGAAGCAACCAGAGACGGGGGCTCGGCGCGCAGCGCACTCACCAAAGAGATTGACGATGCGGAAGGGCGCGAGGACGAGCTTGATGGTGGGCAGGCGCACGAAGGCGATGGAGAGCGTGCCGACGTACGGCTTGCGCGGCGTGAGGCGCAGCTTCACCCAGAGCTCCGCGTCCACGTCCAGGTCGTGCACGCCCACCGGCACCGCGAAGTCCACCCCCGCCACGCGCAGGTGCAGCAGCAGCAGACACCGCGCGTCGCCCGTGTAGCGCAGCGCCACGTGGTACCTGGAGGGGTGGCGTGGGGTGGGCGGGGTGAGGGCGGGTGGACGGGGTAGGTGAGGCAAGGGGAGGAGAAGAGGAACGTTACTGACACGGACGCAGGCTGAATTGCGGGAATTGGCACGGGCATGGGGACGGGTATGGGCACGGGCATGGGGACGGGTATGGACACGGGCATGGGGACGGGTATGGGCACGGGCATGGGACGGGTATGGGCACGGGCACGGGCAAGAGCAAGGAGGCAAACTTACTGAAGGTCGTTGGCGCGTCGGCTGGCGCGGCGCTGCACGTTGCGGACGGCGAGCGGCTCGTAATCCAAGCTGAACTCGGCGATCTCGACGCGCGTGACGACGGCGGGCAGCGGGAGCGTATCAATCGCCGGCTGTAGCAGCCCAACAAGCCATGCCTCGATGGAACGGCGATACACCTTCCACATCTTATGCAGCACCATGTTTACCCACTCCACTGACTCCTTGCCGCCGCCCACGCCCACCTCCGCGCCGCCCATCGCGCCGCCCATTGTGCTGTTGGGATCCGCCGCCGGCGGGACCTCAGGCAACGCAGCGGGCCCCCGCTCCTTGGCTTCCGCGAGCACCTGCGGGGATTCGGAAAGGGCGCAAGGGAGTATATGGTGGATTCGAGAACCAATCAATCGTCGACAACTCAACGAATTTTGCACGCAGGAGAACTCGGCGCTGAAGGAGGATGGTATGGAATAGCTGGCATGGCATGGCTCGCTTCGATTGCGTGGGGGCAATTAGGCCCCCCTTAGAATCGGCAATCCACGTACCTTGGACTCTTTTCGCTTCGACAGCCACGCGATGCACCCCGACGCCATGAGAGCCGTCGCGGCGCCGATCGTCGCGAACAGCATGTCGCGGAGTGGCCCTTCCACATCGTGTATCGAGATCGGCAGAGCTCTCGCCACGTGCGACCGAGAGCGCGACCGCTTCCCGAGCAACAATTCCCTGCCGGGATGAGCGGCGCCCTGCTGCGACTCCTCGCGCGGAGCATCGTCGATGTCTAAAGAGTCGCTGACCGCCTGGCTCGAGGCGTGGCTAGGGACGGACGGTCTAGATGACGCAGTGGAAGTATGGAAGGCCTGTCCGCTGCACGATGGCGGCACGAGCAGCGGTCGACAGGCGTGGACTGCGGTGGAATGTCGCACGTGCGACTGGCGAAGAAGAGAGGGCTTCGCGGGAAGAAACGGCGTCGTTAATTTCGGACTACATCGGGTCTCTGACGGTGCTGGCGCAGTGGGCGTCGACTGTCGTACACTTCGTGACTTGGGCTGCTGACCGCAGGGAGTTGCGAGCGAGGAAAGCAGAGTGTGGCTCGCTAGCGAACTCTTGGCAGCCATGGCCGGGGCTTGCACTGCATGACCCATGGGTCTGAAGGAGGCCACTAGTATCTAAGCCTCCACACGCCTGTGTCGCAATTCACTGGAATTCAGTCAGTATGTGGACAATTCAAAACGGTGATCTCGAGAAAAGGAATCGGTCTTGCTCAGCGAGTTAGGACATGACCTTTACCTCCGCAGAAGCAAGTTTGACAGCAGGGAGACGTGAGGTGGGACAAAGAAGCATGACTGTCGGCTTCGCTTCTTGCTTCCTCGCGTCGTTCGAGCCTTCACTCACACCTTCTCCTCTGCCCACCAACCTCCCCGATATCATCCTTGCGCGCGCTGGTGCAAATCTGTGCCTCCCGGTCACCCATGCTGCACCTTCCGCGGACCGCCTGCCCGCGCCCCTCTGCTGCCATCACCATCATGCTTTCTGCCCGTGCCCTGCCCTCATCCCTAGTCACACGAACGTCACTTTTTCTAGGCAGCGCCCCCTAAAATTTCAAAACCTGCCCTGAGACGTTGTCTTCTGCTCCGTGGCGCACCGAGCCCTGAGGAGCAAGCGGGCGGGTGAGAAAAGTGACCTAGGGGGGAGCGGTGGTCCCACCACCACCCGCAACTTTTTCTTTCGCGAGAGCCTGTTCTGTGAGAACTTCGCACGCGTCTGCGGTGACGGAGAATTCGCCACATGCCCTATGGATCTGACCACAAGTTTTTTGCGCCCCAGCGAACAGCGTGGTGGCACTTACCGGTCCGGGCAGTTTTGCACTTTCCATCAGCTTGCCCTCAACTCTTGGAAACAGGCAGGTATCCACTGCGATTGGCTGGGTGGGGAAAAATTGCATCCCTGCTATCGTCGATCTGGCTCTTGGGACCGTCCAATCAACATCTCGGGCTGGTCAGCCACGTCAGGGATTTGAAAACCGTGTTGGCGGCAACGGACTGGCTACTCCAGGTTGCGTACCTTTTGTGGTTGCCGCCTCCCCAATGGCAGGGTGATTTCTGTTCTCCGTGCCTGAATTCGAGGGGATTTGGCGAGCAAACTATCAGTTTTGCTGGGAAACGTTGAGCAGAACAAGGAAGATAGTTTGAGATTGCTGTCTACACCCTATCGTAAATTGACACCATAGGTAACTTTAGGTGCCTGGAAATCTCGCACCACTTTCCCTTCCATTTCCAACATTTATATTTTATGTTTTCCTACACAAACTCGTTCTCATTTGTGGTATACACTTGTTATAACGTATGTGTACACGCATAAACACATTAGCCAGAATCGGCCCCACCTCCAAAAGCCTGCTTATCATAGTCTACAGCTTTGAGGTGTTCAACATCGGCCCACCGTAAGATGGTCCACTTGTCTGGAGGTGTTATTCTAACAATGCCAATCGATGTGTTGTACACTTTCTTCGCATGCCTGTTTCCTGATGCCTTCATTTGAATGCAATTGCACACTCCACCGTGAGTCACCAGGAGCACCCTTTGGCCTGCAAACAGGGTTCAAAAGCCATCATTTACACATATGCAAAGGCGAAGAAACATGGAAGTGCTGCTTTTCTGCTCTTACCGAGGTGCTCCTTGGCAATGCGATTGACGGTTGTTGTCACCCTCCCATACATGGCCTCCAAGCTCTCTCCCCCTCCCTTGTGTTCACACGAGTCAGACAGAGTCAGAAACAAGAGCGCAAGCAAACCACTGCAGCGTGAGAGGGGTAGAGAAGGCACAGTGCGGGCCGGCCAGGCAACAGACAAAAACGATGATGGAGAGGGGGAGAAGAGGCGGCAAAGGAGTGGCATACAGGAATGGGTTGACTCCAGTCCTTTGAGGTCAATATGCCGTAGGCCTCAGGGTACTTCCGAGAAGCTTCCTCCCGAACGAGGCCCTCTAGAACCCCCAAGTTGCGCTCCCTGAGCCCCTGCAGCCGCACCACCTGCTCTCCCCCCATGCCCACCGCCTCTGCCACCGCCTCCGCCGTCTCTGCCGCCCGCCTGAGGTCTGACGAATACAGCGCTGTGAATGGCAGGTCGCCCGCCGCGAAGCGAGCTGCCAGCTGGCGGGCGGAGAGGGGTTGGAGAGGGCATGGGGAAGGCATGGAGAAAGAAGGAGGAAGGAGGGGGTATGAGGAAAGGAGGAGCGCATGGGAGCCTGAATGAGGGGGAAGTAAGTGCGGGGAAGATGGGTAGCGTGCAGGACGATGGAGAATGACATGTAGTGAATGGGCATGGAGCCGGGGAGAACAGGGGAGAGGACGAATGACTCAATTGGAAGACAAGCGTGAGGGGTGAGGCGGGGACGAGTCGCGGCGCACCGCGCGGGCCTGAGCGCGCCCAACGTCGCTGAGGTCCGACTCCGTCTGCCCCTGCATGCGGTTCTCGCGATTCCACGTCGTCTCGCCGTGTCGCACCACCACGATCTCCGCCACGTCACGCGGAATAAACGGATTCGATCGGTGCGTCCACGTGGCTTGCGTGGCGCCTTCGGCTGAAGATTCCACGCGTGACGTGGTGGCATCAGTGCTGGTCGCTGCCGTGAATCCCGGATCACCAGCTGCTTCTGGCCCCCCTGGCATTGTCACACTACCAGATGAAACGAAGCCAATCAGCGATTGTGGGACGACAGTCGACGAGGTAACCAGTCTCCTGAATTGCGATGGCGAAGGAGAACGGTGAGCAGCGCGGCGTGCGGCGAGCAGCGAAGTGCGAAAAAGTCGAAGCGAGGGCATGAAGAGGTGGCGACAGCAACGGCGACTGCAGTCGAAAAAGTACTGCGAGGAATGAGAGGTGGTGGTGGTGAATGGTTTTTGTACCCGCTACAATCGTTTTTAGAGCTTGGATTTGTGAAAATGAGGTGGAGGAACATTACAACATATTTTCCAGCTAAATCCATCCGATCACCGACTACTTGCCCTAACTCTGCTAGAATTTCAGCCCATCAAAACCACAGCTTGTGTCGGTCGGTCCTCACAACAAGTTGTTGCGACTGATCTCTCGCAATACGTCACACGTTCCTGAGGCGGTCGTCAAGCTTTCGCACGCTACGCGGGAGAGGAAGACCGCGAATCGCCTTCACCGCCGCGCGGCGAGGAGCCGAATGGCACACGTGCTGCTCAAGCGCACGTCGGCACCCACCGCCGCCGCGGCACGGCGAGACGACGGGTCGGATCGCTCCTCAGGGCAGGTGAATCCTCTTCTTCTCGCACCCGCGCCCTCGTATGTTTCACGCCTTGACTGCGGGCCCGTCTCCCCGTGTCTTTATCCGAACTCTCGGTCGTGGTGCCTCGGTCTAGGCTTGAAATCGCAATCTCGCTCTTCACCCTAATCGCTCCTTTTTTTTACATGCGGCTGCACGTTGCATCTCACCAGGTTTCATCCATTTGCACCTCTTTGCACCGCACTGAACCGCAGATGGAGCACCTCCAGCGCTATGAAGAGGAGCAGATAAGCCAGCTCCGCTATTGGTCGCCTGCTCCTGCCAGAGCTGACCTGGCGCATCCAGATTCGCTCGCTGCTGACGTTGACGATTTACTAGAAGTGGCAGCGGCAATAAGACAAGTGGATTCGGATAAGAGCCTTACCAGCCAAGTCAGCGACACGGGGAGCCAACGGCTGACTCAGCAGCACCAGCCAAAGCATGTCGGACACGTGGCAGTGGCAACAGCCTCGGAGGCGGCAAGGAGTGGGATGGATGAGGAGAGGAATACAGGGAGCAGCGAGAGGGGAGGGGCCGTGGGGCAGGGCAACTGGGGCGAGGGGGTGGTGGTGCATGCTGGGAAGAGCATGGGAGGGGCGGTGGGAGCAGCAGCAGCAACAGCCGCCGCGACTGAGGCTGCAGCAGCACTCATCCGACCCCGTGGGCTGTACGCTGCCGGCCAATCAGGGCGCAGCTTGGGTGGGGGGAGGCGACAAGCCAGGCGTGGTGTCAAGGACAAGCTGGGAGAAGCGGCGACAACGGGAGGTGGTCGGGGAGGGGGGGGAAGGGCAGGGGGGGAAGGCGACGGAGAAAAAGGAAGAGGGCGAGAGGGGGAGGGGGGGGCGGTGAGGGCAGTGGACAGTGTGAGTCTGCTGCACCAGCAGCAACCGCTGCTACCAGAGGGGGCCTCAGAGGACCACCTTCGCCGCTTCGGCTCCATCACTCGCTCCCTCTCCCTCTCCTCCTCCTCCTCCACCCCCACTGCTGCTGCCGCTGCCGCTGCCGCTGCTGCAGCGGCTGCTACTGCTGCTGCGGGAGGGATTGAAGGCGTCAAAGGCTCCCCAAGCTCCCTCCGCCGTTCTCCCTCCCCGACCTTTTCCTCCCAAGCTTCAGGGACAGGCTTGGCCCAAGCTTTGCTGTACAGGACTAGGAGCGAGTGTGGACGTGTGGGGGATGGGGGTAGGCGTGTGGGGAGTGAGGGCACTGCATCTCCTAGCCTCTCTGCCACGGGGTCAGCACACACTGCTGCCACGTCAGCATGGGAAAGCTGCTCCGATGGGTCAGTGGGGGCATTAGAGAGTGCGCATGAGGCTCTGGTGACGAGCAGGAGGGGCGAGCGGCAGTGGCGGGGGAACAGCATGAGTAGTGTGAGAGAGGAGATGGGAATGGGCGTGTGGAGTGCGAGTGAGGGAGTGCGGGTGGAAACGGGGCGTGGAAGTGTGCTGGGGAGGGGGCATGGAGTGGCAGCACATGAGGTGGAGGGGCGGTGGGGGTCGGAGGGCGGGTATGTGACGCGCAGGGAGATGCATGCGGTGCTGGCAGGCATGGCTCAGCTGCAACACACCGTTGATGGTGTGCTCCTTCACCTGCAGCAGCAGCAGCAGCAGCAGCAACAGCAAACGGGGCAGACACAGCAGCAGCAGTTTTCAGGGGCAGCAGCCGGCAGGAGCAGGGATCCGAGCGACGAGCAGCAAAGTCCGCAAGGCCGTTCATGGTCAGGAGAGCAGGGCAGGGAAGGCAAGGAAGCACCGCTGCTGCTGCCGCTGCCTGCAGTGCTGCTGCTGTCCGCCCTGGTGGCCCTTGTGCATGCGCTCTGGTCCACCTGCAAGTGGGGCGTGGGGCTCGTGTGGCCGCTGTGCCTGCTGCTGCCCCTCATGCACCGCATGGAGCACCACTGCCGCCTGCACTGCCAGATCTGGACTGGAGCTGGGGATGGCATGGACCGAGAATGAAGGGCTTTTTGCCGTGCCTGCTGTGCTGTCCATTCGATTGGTTGGCAAAGCTGCTCAATTGTGGTTTGCTTCGCTTGATTGCTTGTGGGTCAAATGTGGCTTTCTGTGGAGTATATAGATGCGATGTGCAGAATTACCACTTGGCGTGTTGTGAGTTTTAAGCAAATACAGTACACACAAGAATGCATCACTCAGGAAGGCATGATGCATAGAACCTACCTAACAGCCACCTACAGTGACAGACAACCGTGACCACATTGCTGCTTGCCCACATTCAGTCCCTATCCGCCTTCACCCCTGCTGGGGTGCAATCTCACCACGGGTGACCGAGGGGGCCTCTTCCTCCCCGGTCTGCCTCGCCCTGCCAGCACCGCTTTCACCCTCCACACAATGCTCTTTGCCGCTTGGTTTCTGGTGCCGGGTGGAGGGGAGGCGGGCAAGGGCCGCAGGAGGCGTTGCGAGGGTGGTGGAAGGGTGAGGGGCGGTGGGTATGGTAGGGTGAGCTTGCAGGAGGCAGAGAGGAGGTCCCAGTTGTGCTGGATGAGAAACTTGGAGCCGTTGACCCCCACCAGGTTGTACCTGGTGCCAGAATCGTCAGTGAAAATGGGGGCGAACCTGCAGGCACCAGTGATGAGGTCCCAGTAGAGAGGAAAAGGAAAAGGGTGAGCCAGCAGGCACCAGTGATGAGGTCCCAGTTGTGCTGGATGAGGAACTTGGAGGCGTTGACCCCCACCAGGTTGTACCTGGCTTTTGATGGGTCCGTGAGAATGGGGGCGAACCTGCAGAGGCGAGGCAGAGAGGGACAGGAAGAAGGGAAAAGAGGGGGGAAATGAGGGGGGTTGTGGTGGTAGGGCGGGGGGGGTGAACTTGGAGGCGTTGACCCCACCAGGTTGTATCTGATGGGGGGGCCTGTCCGAATGGGAGAGAACCTGGATGGGGAAGGGTAGTGCACGAGGGATTGGAGGGATGACTGGACCAGGCCAAGAGGGTTGTGCCTGCATTTTCTCACTTGTGCATGTCGGAGTAAGCGGAGGCAGGGGCCTTAGCGGAGGCAGAGGGCCCCGTGCAGACATGAGAGACGCAGAAACAGACCATTTGGAAGCCGCATTCGCTGAATATTAAGACGCCTCAAAACTGACACGGGTATAATCAAACATGAGAGGCACTGTGAGCTCACGTCCACGAGCACTTGTCGGCGACTTTTGAGGCGCCTCACAAGACGTGCAGACACGAGATGCACTGTGAACTGTGCACTCACGTCCACGAGCACTTGTCGGCGTTCTCCTCCCCGTCGCTGTCAAACCACGTGGAGACGAACGGGCTGGCAGCAGCCTCTGCGAGCTCGTGGGCGAACACTGACACGAGGCCATCCATGCCTGGGTCGCCCGTGGGGGAGAGGGACGCGTTGCCGCGGATGTCTGCTGCTATGCACGAGGCAGGGCACTGCGGGAATGGTGTGAAAAACGCAAGAGAGTAGAAAAAGGGCTCGCAAAGGCAGCAGCGGGCACGAGGCCATCCATGCCTAGATCGCCCGTGGGGGATAGAGAGGCGTTGCTGCGGATGTCGGCTGCTATGCACGATGTGGGGCACTGCAAGGGGGGTGGAAGGGGATCGAAGAGAGGAACAAAACGACGTGAGAGAGGTGAGGTCAAGGGTTGCGGGTGCGAGAGGCGGCCGCATAAGGTGATGACGTTATGAAAGATTGCATGTTCAAGGAGCAACCAGATACGAGGCCAACCCTTTCACGCACCTGCTCACCCACCCACCGGCAGGGATGCCCCCCCTCCCACGCACGTACCAGAACATTTTCTCGCCCACCCACCCACGCACCTGCAAGTCTGCCTTGCCGGTCCATGCAGTAAGGAACGTGCCGAAGCCAGGTGCCGAGCCGAAGAAATGCCATCCGCAGAATGCCTCACAGAAGCGGTCCGCCTGAAGATTGTCGCTGCTCGCCTGCGTTACACTCGCGTCCGACAGCACGAAGTACACCCCGTCCGCGTTATAAGGCAGCTTCCCGCTCGTGATGGCGTCAGAGATAAGTGCCGTGACGTCAGCATCATAGAGCGTGGCGCCTCGGGAGTATCCCGCGTCGTCCGTCTCTCCGCCCCAAGTGACGGTTTCCGTCACGCGCCGTCCAGCCTGGTCGTGGTACTGCCGGTTCACGTTCCACCACAACGGTACTGCGAGGTTGATAGAGGAGAAAGTGGAGAGAGGGAGTGGGGGCGTTTGTGGGCAAGGGAGTGTCGGGATTCGAGGGGAGAATTTTAAGAGGTCCGCCGGCTTCCGTGGATGTAACGCCTGTGGGGCTTACACGTAAGGGTATGAGAGCATCCGCTGCGCCTCAAATACAACCCTCGTTTTGACCCAGTGGGTAGCGAGGTGTTACATTTGGTCTCAGAGCCAGGGGTTCGATTCCGGCTGGGTCACATTTGAATGTGCCAGACGCGAACCCAGTGAACGATCCGCCGCTGGCCTGGCCCACCAGCGAAGTCGCTGTAGAGTGAGATTCAGGTCCTTACGAGGGCCGACTCCCTGCCCAACGAGGACGTTGGCTCCAGGGGGGGACGAGTGTAACGCCTGTGGGGCTTACACGTAAGGGTATGAGAGCATCCGCTGCGCCTCAAATACAACCCTCGTTTTGACCCAGTGGGTAGCGAGGTGTTACAGCGGAGGCTTCTCGAGGAAATCGATGGGGGGCTACCCACCAGTGACGGCGGTGTCAGCGTTGGGGCTGAGCGATGCGACGAAGGTGCGGAGCGTCTGCTTCTGAGCGGCGGAGAACACGCCGTACCACATCACGAACACGCGAATCGGCCTATGCAGCACGCCGCACCGCCCATCCGAGCACCAGTGCGGTGAAATGCCGAATGTCGGCTTGGCAATGCCTGCCTTCGATGCTACCCCTGCTGCTGTTGCTGCAACTGCGGATGCACGTTGCGTCGCGAGAGTGACCGTGCTGCTCCGCATCACGCTGCTTAGAGTCTGCCTCGCCAAAGCTTCTCTCAAAGCCGTAGGGCGCGTTATTTGAGCTCCCAATGTAGCTTTTATAGTGCCGACGATGCCTCTCCCTCTCGCCGTATTCCTCTTCATTAATCTCCTTTTGGCCGCTCCTTTCCTGCCCGTCTTTTCCCCGCTCTCTGTGTGTCTTACCGCCCTCAAGTGCTGCCCATTGATTTCATCGTCATGCAGACCACGAAAATGCGCCGGATTGAGCCTGCCTGGCGGGCTTTTCGCAAGAGCAGGCAGAGTTTTTCTAGTTTTATTTGACGACACGTAGGTCTTGCCGGCATGCGCGGCGCGTGAGTACGAACAACCCGTCAGTAGGAGACATAGCACTGTGCACACGCACACGCGCGACATCCCTCTGTTTGCTATGATAATCTCTGTTAATCCAATAGCCTACGCCACGAAGGTTAAGGAATAGACGGAAAGTCGAGAGACTTTAACGTTTCGCGGAACACGACTTTCGTGCAGAACATGGTGTGGTGGAGGGGAGGTGATGGGAGGAAATGCAGGGAGGCAAAGGAAATTGGGTTGTAATGGGATGGGAGTGCGAGATTGTGGGCCACCACGCACTCGTGAATCGTGATCTATTTTTGTCGATCGCATCGCGGGGAAATTCATCAACCGGACCGGAGCGCTTGGTTTGGGTAGGAGGTTTGAACCCGCTGGAGCCGTTACCAATTCGTTTCTCGTTATATCACGCATCCCCTGCCATTCGTTACGCAAGCATGATAGTGCTAGAATTAGTGAATCTAAAGCAAAAAACTAGGGATAGCCGATGACCTGCATCACTACTAAGGTGTCAGCCAACTAATAAACAAGAAGCATTCAGTATGATACAGCGCAAGATTGATCGAACGAAATAAAACAAAAAACTTAACAAGGCTACCCTCCTGGATGGAATATTTTGTTGATGAAATGATATTTTTTTTTAAGTGTAATGAAATGTAATACTTTCTAAAATTTTGTATTGTGAAAAGAGGTACGTGGCCAACACAGCAAATGTAGCGCCAAAGCACTACTCGCCCTCTTTTGCCTACAAAAGAGGGACGTGGGGACATTCGTCCCTACCCACGTTTTCATTTCTCAATTTGTAGTTCTAATTTCTCGTTCTTGTCACTCTGGCGAAGACACAATCCCTTCCGCGCTTCACAGCCCCGACAACACTCCTCAACGATATCCTTCAGCGCAACTTAGCTAACATGACTTCGGCGAACTCGACGCTTAACCGCGACAACGCGACCACTTCAAGCCCCGGTAACGCGGGAGAAACTTCAATTCCCGCCGGGGGAAACGATCACCGCGGCAAACGGAGCTCGGAAGAAATTTCTCCCGAGGGACCCTCGGCTGTCGAAGTTCTGCTCGGCGGCACCCCTCGCGCTGCGTCAGCAGCCGCGCGTGACTGCTGAAGAGCGCGTGCCAGGCAGGCAGGCACGCGCGCTGCAGAAGACGACGACGGCCGCTGACGCGGCCGCCGTCTTGACCGCGGCAGACGCGGGTCAACCCGGGCCCACGACCCAGAAACGCCAGCGCGCGGCACCCTCCGCTGACGTCGCGCAAGTCAACGCCCCCCCCCCCCCCCTCCCTTTGACTGCACAGCAGCTGCGGGCGCTTTTCTCGCTATTGCAGCAACAGACGCCCGGTACAATTGCTACATCGACGGACTATAATTCTGCGTCCGTAAAAACGGAAAAGCAGAAAGAGGCAGTTGCAACTCGCACCACCAAGGTCGCCCGCGCCACCACCGCCGTTCCTGCGCCCGCCCTGCCTACTGAACCAGTTCAAGTTCGTACAATTGACGACAGCGACAACTCGGACAATGACGACGGTGAGGCCCCAGACAACCTTGCCCGCCGTCGCATTCTTGCACCCGCACCCCCCCCTACCTCCCCTTAACCCGTCACCCGCATCTACTACCTTCATGCGCAAAGGAGTGCGCGACCAGGCAGAGGTATTTTCTGCAATTCAAGCGCACCTGAGGCGTGTCGAGTTCAAGC